TAGCCATTTATGTCGATTTTCGTGACAGCTCTGTTGAATGAATACTCAAACTTTTTTCTAAGCAGAAGGAAAAACATATTTTGGTTGCAGTTATTTGGCTGTTATTGATGGAACTTAACCAATTAGATAGAATCTGCTCAAGTATTTGAGCACTAAAATGAGAGCAAATTTTGGTTTACTTAATTACTACTTTAAATTGATTGACAGTTAAAATATTTTTCTTGTTCCATTGATTTCTCAAAAGACCAATTAAGAAAAACTTGTCTAATTTTGGGGTAAAAATGAAACTGCGACTTTGCAACTACAAATAAAAAATTAAAGCGCAGTGTTTTGTATATACTGTTTGCCTCGTCTTTTTGGACAAATGCTGTGCCTGAAATGCCCTTCACTTTCTGGGTTTTATATGAGTGATAGTGATGATACGTAGTTTTAAGGTTAGAAGACTGTTTTACTGCGGTTAAAGTAGTTGCAAGTGAAATCCTAATCTCTGAATTCTTTACAAATATTTCTGTTGTTGAAGGGCATCTCTGTTTAACGTAAAGGCTTGAACGGTAAGCAGTGACAATAAAATTGGAAACAGACATCGGGTTTTTTTTTCTGTGGGTCTAGGGTGTGAAAAAGCTGCTAACAAGAAAAGCTAAAACCTGCTAAAGTTCCACAGTTTCCAGCATTTCTCTCTCTTCTTGATTCACTTTATACGTTTATGTATGTTTGGATTCTTTCTGAGTCTTAACCACCTAGATTTAGTTATAAATTGGCTTCTGTTTACTTGCCTTGATAAACACATGCTTCTTGGATGTGTTGATAATGGTAAGATTGATAGTTATTCTTTAAGTGCGGCATTATTAGCAGTATTTACATACGTTACCGGTCAATTATCGTTTTTTTTTTTTTCTTTTTTATGCGCGCAGGTTCTTGTTCGTAGCAGTTGTCTGGTACTGCATTTTGGTTGTTAACGTAAAAGTGAACGTTAGTACGCCACGATTTACTTGTAGTCAGTTTGTTCTACATAATATGTTGCTTTTTGAAGATAAACCTTTGATTGCTCTGCTCATCTTCCATCTTTTCATATGTACCATTATGTTCTTTTTAGACTAAGGAACCAGTATTTGCGGAGAAATAATCATGTCGAGAAGATTTTTGGTTGGTGGTAACTGGAAAATGAATGGAAGCAAGGTAAACCTTTGTTTTATTTGCCATATATTTTAATTTTTTCACGAGGAAGCTGTTCATCGATTTCTAACCTTCAATTTTTTTGCTAGCTATCGCTTTAACTTCCTTTCGCTACATATCCCCTAGTTACTCAAAGTTTTTGGCATTTTAGCTCAGGGGCAACTAGTCTGACTGTTTATACTTTTTTCTATTGGTAATTTTTAGTCATAATTTAAAGGTAAAGGGAATTCAACTTTTTTCATAAAGTTACATTTTTTCCTTTTTGAATTAGTTGTGTGCCAGATCATATGACATTTTATTTGTTAGCCTTTTTTCTCTAGTGTAAGAAGGTGTTTTTTAGTTTTAGCTTTATTTTTAAATTCGCACATTGCGTTCTGAGTGCTCCAGCTGGCTCTACAATGGTATGCACTCATCAGGGTCTGTGAAACTAGGACAGTCTGGCTTAAAATCATCTTAATGTATGTATTTTCTGGTTTGGAAGTTTTATAGCTAGAGATTGATGTTTCCTTTATTGAAAAATTTTTAGAGAACATTGCGTTTACCTCTGATGTTTTATGTCAGCGTTAATAAAAGGAATATTTAGTTTGCACAAATACTTCAGAGGACTCAACATTTTCAAAAATAAGTTAATGAAGTTAATTTTTTTTAATTTGAAGTTTAGTTGCTTTATGATAACAAACTGGCAGGTTGCTCTTACTTAATGATCCCTTGTCCGAAAAGACTGCCTTTAAGAGTCTCCTGTAGTCTTAATTCCCAATTTACTTTTTTTGTAGGACTTCTTACTTCGGTTTTACAAAAAAATTATTGTTACTGTAGCTAATATCTCTTTAGCTGCTTCCCCTGCTGGTTTCAAGGACTATTTATTTTACTGTTGAGTCGGATGTTTAAAATACTTACTGTGCGATAAAAATATTTTGGACTGTTACCATTTGTAGCTGTAAGTGAAATTTGTTAAGGAAGTGGACATCCAGTTCTTTCGTGGAACTGGAGTTGTTTAATTTCACGCAAGCTTTTCAAAGGACATAAAACGTTGTCACTTTTTACATTGCGTTCTTTTAGTTTTATACATCTTGGTAATTTTTAGTTATAAAATAAAAAGCTGTTGTAAGGATTAGTTTATTAATTTTTGACCATTTTTAAAGGTAGATGAAAGTGGTTCGAATGGTGTTTAGGAGTCCCGCGTACTCTCTTCTTCTGCTGGCATTTGCTTTTTCCTCAGAGTTTCTTTACACTTATTTTTAAATTACTCCCTAGTGAAATTAGCTCAGTGCGCTTATTCCAGGCTTCCATCGACAAAATTATCGCATTCCTGAACGAAGGGCCTTGCGACCCTAATGTTGAAGTTGTTGTAGCTCCTCCTGCACCATATTTAGGATATGTGAAGGAGCACGTGAAGGAGCCAATTGCAGTAGCTGCACAAAATGCCTATAAGGTGAGGTTGTGAAAATTTGTAATTGTGTTTGGTAATTGATTATCAGTCTTTCAAAAACATCTCTTTTGCTTTGTGGAGGTTTTAAAAGATGAGTTGTATTAAAGGGAACTGGACGTAGTCTTTTTTGGAGAAAAAAGACTTAATTATAGGTGGAAACGTTGATTTTTTTTTCCCCCCCC